AATTCTTCACTTCTTATTTCTTATAATTGCATCTTATATAAATTATATAAACTAATTCAATCTTTTATTAGTTGATGGTATTCAAGAGGATGAAGGAAAGGAAGATGAGGAAGATGAGGAAGAAGAGTAAGAAGATATTTGGATGGATGAAGAAATAATTGCATATATGACACATATTCTATTCATTTTAAATTCTGTAGAGAAACAAAAGTTTCATATATTCATTTTCTTCTTTAAGCTGTATTTGCAATTACTTGATCAAGTATCAAGTATTTGATTTGATTGGTTAACCTAATGATGACCTGAAATTTGTCTACCTGATCTGGATTTTTCAGGTCGGATCACAAGTTGACTCAGAGCTCTAATTTCATCTAATAAATATCAAAAACTAAATTTAATAAATCTTTTTAATTAAAGGTTCTTAAAATTTAATTTCATCCCATAGGATTTTAAGAAATATTGTTTATATTTTTGAATATTTATAAAATATTATCATTTTAATCTAATTTATAATAAAAATTTTATTATTAATAATATTTGGCTATAATATAACTCTTTAATCATAACTTTTTTAATTAAAATTACAGCACTTTTACCTATGTGCTTACATAAAAATTTTACTTTGTAACATTCATTTTAGAAGTAATTTGATTTCTTATCATAACCTAATAAAAACATTAACTAAATTTGATTTTTATTATTTTTATTGCAAAGGGCCATTAAATTGACTGTTATATTGTCATAGGTTCGGAAATTATTTGAGATCAGGGAGGAAAAAGTTTTTTTTTTTATTATTATTTTATTCATCTTTCACCCATTTAATATTTTGGCTTTCATAATTAGAATAACAGCGAAAGTCATTTGCCAAACCACCTTTATGCTGTGGAATGAAAGTCGACATTTTTGCCTTGATTAATCTATAAATGAGGTCGCGCAATACAGCTCCTAAAAAGAGATAATAATATTTTAGATTAATTTTAATCTTTATTAAACAAAAATTTTGAATTATATATCATTACCTGTGCAAATTAAAACTTTACAATTTCCTTTTTTCTCAAGCCATCTAACTGTTATCATGGACTTAGTACAACAGTCTTCACTTAAAAACGGAGGATCAACTAATATAAAATCAAAGGAATTTTTTAATTCTTGGGAATTACGAAATTTAGTAGGGTTTTTATAATCGTATGTATAAAAATCCGCTCCATATACATCAAATCTTGTATCAAATTCAAAAAGATAGATTGTTTGTTTTGGGGTTGGTTTTAATGACTATTTTAATATAGTGCGGTTAATATATATATATATAAAGGAGAAAACTTTAAAGATATAAGTACATACTTTTAGTTTTACGAATGCTGTTGGTGTACTGATACATGCTATACGACTGTCTGGGTTGGTATTAGTTAGAACTTCTTGAGCCAAAATGTTTGATGTCTCTTCATCGTACTAATTTAATTGAAATAAAATCTTTTATTTCAAACTGGCCTTTTTTTTTTAAAAAAAAAAAGCATAATAGACTTACCCAAAATTGGCTCAGCTTATTTCAAATTAACAAAAAAATAACCTATCAACTTGGATGTTCATTTGATAACTTTTAATAATAAAACATCATACCTGCCAGTCTTCTTTAAAAAATTCTATATTAATTTCTGTATTATCATCGTTATTTTGTTTTGAATCTTGTGAATTAGATTCTAAATAGTTTTGTATACAAGATAAAGACTTTGACTTTAGTTGTTCGAATTTTTTCTGTTGTTCTTTTTGCTCTGAAAGAAATTCATTTAATGCTGATAATGCGTGTTCTGATAATCTAATTTAAATTATTAAAAATTAGTTCTATATATATATGTATTATAAAAAGGTAATAAAAATAAAATAATACTCTAGAATATCATCATTTTTTTCTTCAGACATGATGAAAGTTTTTTAGATTTTTTTTTTTTAGATGAAATTAATTAAATTAAATTTCATTGGATTGCGTGTAACAGATATCCGAATTAGGTTTACTATTGTTTCTTGATTTGGATATTGCTTTAAATTTACACACACGTGTTTTTAATAATTCAGAGCTTATGAATAATGTTTCTTTTATTGTAATTGAACCAAAAAATTTATTTAATCATTACATAATAGAAAACCTCAAAATATAGTTTAATGCTCAAATTTGAAACTTTATATTTTACCAACATAACAGTTGTATCAGGTAATTTTCTTTAATTCAATTGTATTTTTAAATATGGCACGTTTTTATGAACCTTTATGATAAAAAAAAGATTAGCCATTCATCTGTATAATTATTCAATTTTCTTTAAAATTAAAATAAAAAATTAAAATAAAATATATTCATTATTAATCATCGTCCAGGATTTACTTCTTGATGAAGTCTTCTATATTCTGATTGATTAGTTTCCAAAGTATCTTCCAAAGTTTTTACTTGAAGTTTCAAAGATTGAATATTATCTTGTAATTCACGTACTGAAAGACGTTCCTTTCGAATATATTCTTCTAAAGTTCTATTTAAATGTTCTTTTTCATTTAATTCTGCAAGCTGCTTTTGCTTATATTCATAAAGTTGTTTAAATTCCGATGTTTGGCCTCCACCAGATGATATTTGTAAAGCACTTGTATACGAAATTAATGCAGCATCTTCCGCTTTCTTTAATTTTTCATTTAGTTTAGCTAATTCCTTTTCCAATTGTTCTTCTTCCCATTTACCTAATGTAAAATCATAATCTTTTAAATTCACGTTTTAAATATAAAAAATCATTATAAAATGAAAAGTTTTGCATACCACCAGAATGAGATTGTCCATAGCTTGTCCTATTTGAAATGCTAGTACCTTCTGATGTCTTTGACTTCCATGAAGGATCAAGAGTCTCGTTGTAGTTGTAATTTAATTTTCCTCTTACTAAAGATGTTTTTAACGCACTAGGTAAACTATCAGGTATACGCTTCCCTTTACTTCGTTGATTTAATATGTGAAGAAAAACGAGACACTGATCTTTTCCAAGTTGTTGTTCAAAGTTAACATCGACTAGATTCCTAAATATTTAATAATAAAGTTATTCTCAAAGTCGTACACATTAAAGAAAATATATCATAACAAATAAAATTATAAGGATTCAAAACCATGCCGCTATACACTCTTCTCTCGGTATTCCAAGTCGTTGATAAAGCTCATCGAAATTCGCAACTAAACAATTAATAATTGATTTTTATGTAAATAAAAGAACAAAATTGCTTGAATCTTGGATGACAACAAAATAAATAAAAGGCTTGATAACTAACATCTAACATAGCCATGGGCTCCAACATGTTTAGAATATTCATTTTCATAATTGAATTTATCTGCAGGAGGCATATACCAATCAAAATCATCTGATAAAGGTGCTGTTGGAAATCCACCATAACTACTTGACGACTATGATTATTAAATATATATATATATATATATTTAAATAAACATATCCAAATTTTTATGCAACTTTAAGAATATTATTTGTTAATACCTGATGATACAGCGAGGGAGGCGGAGGAGGTACCTGCGGCAAATGTTGTGATTGTGAATATGAAGGCATCATATTAGAAAGTGCTGAAGGTAATGGACTACTTGATTGAGGAATTGAATTGATAGATAATGGAATTGATTGCGGGATGGAACTAATTGTTTGAGAAATCATCCCGGAACTAATGCCTAATGTTGAACCTCCGTGGAATCCGGTGCCACTCGCCCCAAAGAGATGAGCCTTACTTGGTGGGATTAAATGAGGAGGTAATGATGGAGGGACATCCGGATATCTTTGAGCCAATAGATCATTGACTAATCTATAGGTGACTGAAAATTCATCAAAATCAAGTTGACCATCTTTGTCAATATCACAAAGATCCCTTTAAATTTTAAGGGAAAAAAAATATTAACTCATAAATTTCTTTTAAAAAAAGCGAAAAAAAAATCCATAAAATAACTTGCCATATTCTTTCAAGCCATTGTACAGGTAAATTTGAGTTCATGAGCCAATTCCTCGCTTGGATACCTAGATTAAAATGTAAGATTAAAAGTTTTGTTTATCAGAAATTCGACTATATAGACTTGACATACCTGGAATGTAGCCATTTATGGGTCCGAGGGAAGAAAATACTTGAAAATATTGTTGTTTCTCTGTGTCACTAATTATACTCATCTTGTGCAATTAAATAACTGTAAACTATTAGAAAAATAAAAGGGAAAATATAAAGTGTATGAAAAGAAACGGCATTTATTTATTATACACAATTCTGTTTATTGATGATAGTCACTCACATAGTCATGTATAAAATATTATTAAATGAGTTACACGAATATGAACTTTTTCGGAACTAGGGTAATGCAGTTCTATTTTAATTCTATAATAAAAAATTATTTTTATGTAAATATTAATAACTGTTAAATTTAAATTTTAACTCTATTTGTTATTTATATTCAAATTTAAAGAGTCATAATTCCTCTTGCTGGTTTTGGACTAACGGATGTATCATCTTGAAGCACTTTCATCATATCGTTCCTTCTAAGATCTTCGCCATAATCACCGATCACTGATGCAAAGTAAAACTATAAAAAAAAAAGCGTATTATCAGGATAAATTAACAAGAAGGAAAAAAAAAAAAGAATATAAACATACCATAAGTAAGAAACCGATAATTGTATATGTAATAGCAAATCCAAGATAAAGTTTTACACCTTGTTGACATAATTCTCGTTCCGATTGAGTATTTTGAGGAATTGCATTATCAGTATGATTAGTAAAATTTGCATTATCAGTAGAATTTGCAGTATCTGTTGAATTTGCTTCTTCTGGTTCTTCTTGCTGTCGTTTTCCATATGGCTTCGTCCAATGAACAACTGGGCTCCAATATGTTCCTTCATGTGCTTCTTCATTAAATTTTTCGATACACATCTCCACAAGTGTGTCCTTATTTTTGATACTAATTATCGAAATTGATAATCCAAAGACCAAATAGAACAATGCGCTGGCGCTAATAATTAACGCGAAATATTTAACCAATTTTTTATTTTGCTACAAGAACGTGAAAATAATTTTTTAATTTTTAGATTGAAAAAAATTCGTTAAAAAAGTTTCATTTACCATAATAGCACCGATAAGTCCTCCGAGAGCTATCACCCCTCTTATAATATTCCAAACACCATGAACATATCCAAGACTTTTCGTAAATTTCGTAGCCACTAAATACAAAAGATTTAGGTATCATAATTCTCGTGTCACGTAGCCAATTGAAAATCAAGAACTCCTACCATCAACATAAGAAAATGCGACATATGCTCCGGCCAAACTTTGAACCTAAATTAGAGCGATTGATTTTGTAATTAATATAAACCGAAAAACAGATTTATAAAAAAAACCTACTTACTAGAACAAGAAATGAAATAAGAAATACCCCAGTACGAAGTTGGATACTGAAAGATCAAGAATCCATAAGAATTAAAAAAAAAAAAAAGTACTTAAAAGTCATAACTGCTGACTTACCAGCAACAACACCTTTGAACCATATTTGTTTATAAATAATCGAATGTTTTTTAAATTAAAGTTTATAACGAATATGGAAAGAACAAGAGAATGTAGTTTACTCGTTCCAAATAAAATTAAAAACAATTGAATTTTATTTTATCTAGATAAATTCTTTTATCATTGAAATTGATGAAAAAACGTATCATAATATAAGATCTAGAACGAGACTCTTAAACGGCAATATTCGATTTCTTATGATCCGTATGTTAACTTTTTCGACTGACGCATGGCTGAGCAAAATGATTTCGCTTAGCATTTAATTATTAAGACATTAGTTTTCCATGTGGCTTCTTTAATAAACGGATACATTATTAATTATATGCTACGCCACTAAGATTGTCATGATAAATACATGTATCGATCAAGCTTTCAATATTCATCTATTGGGATTTCGCATCCAAAAATGGAGCCGAGCCCCAATCTCGATGCTACAATGTTAACAAAAATATTTATTGATATTGAGATTTTTGCAAAAAATACCAAATCGTATATGACAAGAAAGTTTCTTGGAAAGCCTATTATTTGATTTTATTATGACAAAGGGTCTCGTATTTCCAACAAAATAAGAAATTAAAAACACTGCCCTTAATAGTGATCGTGACAAAATAATTTCTGGGGTTAAAAATAAAATTCGTCTATCACATGGTGACATGTGGCTTTGAACCCCCTGAAATTTTTTTGTCACTTTTTTGTTTTTCTTGAATGTCGTTTAAAGAAAAATTGTGTATTTTAATATAATGTCGAATGCTTTTGTTTTCCCCTCAATACATGACTTTCCACCGTTTTATACGTAAGTTAACTCGTAAAAAAGGTTTTTCGGAAAATAAATAAATAATAAATATTCTTTCTAAGCTTGTAAAAAATTTTGATTTATAGATTTCAACCAACTCAAACAACATGGCAAAATCAAGTTGCGCTTTGGTCAGAAATAATTTTATCATATTATAGACATCACAAATTATATCGTCTTGAATTATCCGAATCATTAAATAGTGAATTGTTTCATAATAAAGGAATTAATCGTTAGTATTTTAAAGTGTCGATTTTTTTTTGATTAATTTTTAATTCTTTTACATTTTATTAGGAAGATTAAAGCTTGACACATTACAAATGATAATTGACGAAATGGTTAAACAAGGTTTGATTTAAATTATTAATATTTTTTTTTTTATGCATTATTTAAATAAATTTTTAATTTAGGAATGGCAGAATGGGATTCACCACCTAAAAAAACTACCGCAATTATTTATTGGAGAAAACCAGAAGAATGGGCAACCTTAATTAATAATTGGGTTTATATTATTATTATATATTAAGTTTATTTTTAATTCTCTAATATATATATATTTTTTAATAAAATAAAATTATTATTTTAATTGACAGGTATTTGAAGCTGGAATAACAAATTCTATATTAACAGTATATGAAATTGCACATGGAGATACTACTGAGGGCTTGGGTAAATATAAATAAAAAGCAATTTTTTTTTGAATGAAATATAATTTTCTATAAAGATTCTTTTTTCTTTATTTAAAGAATTTCATAAGTTGGATCAGATAATTTTAATGAAATCATTGGATATATTAGTGAAAAAAGGTGTAGCACAAACATTTCAAGGTACTAGTGCTGATGATATAGGTGTCAAATTTTTTGGAATTAATTGATAGTTAAATCATAAAATTGTATATTTATTAAGTAAATATTGCAGATTTAAAAATATTAATATTTAATTATTTTAAAGTATTTAAACATTTTTAATTGCATTTAATATATTAAATCAAAAATTTGTATATAATATAATCCTTATAAATAATTTAAAATAATAAATAAATATAGAATTTTTATTTATAAAAATTAATAATAAAAAATTTTTAATATTTTTATATATATTTATATATATTGTATGTCAGGTATCAATTTGTCTTAGATATTAACTGGTCTAAATTACTAGCCTATTTTTATAATATTTGGATAGCATTATTAATGATTATTTTTATTATTTCTATATTGAGTATTCTATCGACATCTAAGACAAATCAATACTTGAGACACAATATATATAATTAATTTCATTTTTTAATTTTATTTTATTTTATAAATATAAATAATAAATAAATAAAATTTTATTATTTTTTTTATATAAAAATTTTAAATATTATTATAAATAATATTTGTATAAATTAATAAATTAAATTAATTTTAGAATATTTAATAAAAAGATAAAATAATTTAAATAATTATATAATAAATATAATAAATATTATTATCAATAGTAACATATTACTTAGATTAGATTATAAAACTACTCTATAATCTTATGATCTATTTATTATTATATAATCTGAATATTACTTTATAACCTAATGTCTATAATCTGATTAACACTTTATAATCTATTTACTTTCTTTTAATAATTATTTCTTTTATTCTCTAACTATTTCTTTAAGACTTTTTCTTATATTTATAATTTTATATTGATATGATTTTATTATTACTTTATAACCTAATTACCACCTCCTTTAATCTAATAAAACCTGTTTTCTTTTATTTTATCTTATCTAAAAACTGAATTTTGTATTAAGAATATTAACTTTCTATATTTGTTTAGACATTAGATTGGATTTTATATTGAAAATGCATCTATTTTATTATTATAAAGTTAATTATATGTTAAGAGCTTTTATTTTACTTTTTATTATAAAAAATATTATATTAAATAATATAATAAATCTGCAATACACTTTAGGTTAATTTTGGTTAATACTATTTTTTAAATAGTAATAATTTTTATTTAAATTTAATCAAAATTTTAATCAATTATTATACAAAATTCTACATAGAAACTTTCAATTTTTTTTTAAAATTTAGTTAAAATATATTATAAATAAAGATGATATTGCAACTAGGTCTTATTAATTGCAACTTATACTTACAATACTATGTTTTTATATAGGCAACAATTGCAACTATTTTTAAAAATAGGTTAAGGTATCATCTTTAATTATAAAGTTTATTATAAATCTATTATTTTAAATAATATTACATTTTGATAATTTTGATAATTAAAATTTTAAATATATACAAAATTTTTAACTTTAAATTTATAATAAATAATATTTAATTATAAAAATATGTTTTAAATATAAATTTATATATTTTGTAATATTTTTTTTATTAATATGATAATAAATAAAAATTGTAAATTTAGCTTTTATAAAGAAAATACTTTTATAAAAAATATTCAAACTTTGATCTTAAATTAATACAAAAACTACTAATTAATATAAAAATTTTTTTGATTTTACTTATAAAAATATTATTTATTTTAATAACTAATTTTTAATATATCTAAGTAAAATTTTTTTAAATTTGAAAGAAAAACTATTAAAGAAATAAAAAATTTGTAAATTTAAACAAATAAGATTTATAAAATATTTATTATTATTTATAAATCATAATATTATATATATTGATTTAACATCAGAATAACAGAAAAAAATTTATATTATAAAGTAAAAATTAATAATAGATATTTATATTTGTCTAGCTTATTATATACTTATAATCATATTATTATACTAATACTAAATTAAATATTTTAAATATTTTGATAATTGTTATTATAATTTTAATAGAACATAATATTAATACTTATTTTTAAACACAAAATAATAATTAGAATATATATTCATAATAATTATTTACTAAAATTATCTTTCTAAAACATATTCTATTATGTATTATATAATTTTTAATTTTATTACTTTTTATATTAATTGAAATATTATTAAATATTGTTACATAGATAACTTATCTAACTTATCTGCTTATTTTTCAAAAAAGTAAATTCTTAATAAAACTTATTTATCATCACTCAGATGATTTTAAAAATAAAAATAAAAATTATTTATTATCCTAAAGTAGTTAAATTAGTTTTGCTTTATTGGTAAAAGGTCAAAATAAATTAAAGTAATTTTTTTTCCTTTTATTTTTTATGTTCTTTATCAAATGAGATTATTTGCTAACACAAATTAGAATTTGCTCATATAGTATTACTACTAGATATTATTACTAATTTATACTATATAATAAATACTTCTTTATTACTTATATTGTTTTCTGTTAATTCATTATAAAGATTAAAAAACTTATCTAATGCTAAGAGAAATTAGTTAAATACCTTATAAAATTATAAGATGTAATAAATTTATCAAATAATAATAGTTTAAAAGTAACAATTTTTTCAATAATTTTTAGTAATATTAGTTGATTTAAAAAACTGTAATAAGTATTTAAGTATATTCTACTTTGTATCTTAATTATGATTAAATATTGGTTTCATATTATTACTATTAATTAATATTAATTTATTTAATTCTACTTACTATATATAATATTTGTGATATTATATCACGTTTGTTGTTTATTCTATAAGAATTTTTTATTTATTCTTTATGCAATGACTCATATGTTTCTGTAGTAAATTATTAATTACACTATATTTAATAATTAATATAATAGTATAACAATTCTAATTATGAAATTTTGCTAATTGTAATTATAATAGCAAAATATGACCCTATAAATAATCAGTATAAGGAAAGTATACGGAAATAATACGTTTAAAAAACGTATAAAAAACGTATAAAAACA